GGGTACTGAAGATATGACAATTTTGGAGGAGGGGCACACCAGGGGGTCTGGAATACCCCGAGGCACACATACTTCCAGGACAGAAATAGTTTATAAACCTACTTTCCGAATTGTTGTTGGAGTTTCGAAAATTCTCCTTTCCTGGAATGTATTCTCCCCCAAAACGTTGTTAAGGGTACTGAAGATATGACAATTTTGGAGGAGAGGCACACCAGGAGGTCTGGAATACCCCCAGGCACACATACTTCCAGGACAGACATATTTTTTAAACCTCCTTCGCGAATTGTTGTTGGAGTTTCGAAAAATCTCTTTTCCTGAAATGTATTCTCCCCCAAAACGTTGTCAAGGGTACTGGAAGATATGACAATTTTGGAGGAGAGGCACACCAGGGGGCCTGGAATACCCCCAGGCACACATACTTCCAGGACAGAAATAGTTTATAAACCTCCTTCGCGAATTGTTGTTGGAGTTTCGAAAAATCTCCTTTCCTGGAATGTATTCTCCCCCAAAACGTTGTCAAGGGTACTGAAGATATGTCAATTTTGGAGGAGAGGCACACCGGGGGGTCTGGAATACCCCCAGGCACACATACTTTCAGGACAGAAATATTTTATAAACCTCTTTCGCGAATTGCCGTTGGAGTTCCGAAAAATCCAATTTCCTGTATTCTTGTGTGTTGGTGGAGGGTATTCCATACCCCCCAGACCCCCCGGTCTTCAGACTCCCCTCCCAAACTGTTAACCTTCAGTACTCTGGTGAGAATTATTTTCAGGGAGGGCTATCGAACTGTCTTTGCCTGAATCTCCAGAATTACCTGTTGCGTCTATTCTCCCCCAAAACGTTCACAAGAGTACTGAAGGTTCGCTTGGAGGAGAGTAACACCGGGGGGCCTGGGGGGTATGGAATACCCCCCAGGCACACATACATTCCAGAACAGCAATATGTGTAGGACACACCGTTATTTCTCTGGTTCTTTTTGATTTTCTCGCTTCTTCTCGCCCCTATCCGTATTCTTCTTGTTCTTCTCTAGGTGATCCTTTCTTCGCTCCTTTAATCCAGCTGTTCCTTAAGTTCCCTCTCGTTAATAGTCATCTGCTAGTTCCTGTTACTTTTATTGTTTTTCTCCTTTTCATTGTTACTCTCTCTCTATTCCTCACCCTTCATCTTCACGCTTCGCTCCGCCTTTGTTCTCGTTTCACTTATTCACTTCCTCATTATTTCTTCTTCCCCCTCTTCTTAACCTTGCGTTGGTTCATTTATCCTTCTGCTTTGTACTCGTTATCCTTTCGTCCTTCTAATTCGTGTTATTTTGATTGCTTCTTCCCGCTCTTATTGTTCATCATCTTGCTCTTCTTCCCTTCTCTCATTATTGTTTTCGGTCCTTTTTCATCTTTCCATTCACACCTCTGTGCCAGTCTTCTTTGCTTCTCTATTTGTTCGTCTCGTTTCTATAGCTTTTATCGCGCTCCTATTTTTAATCTTTCTATCGTTTCTGTTCTCCTTCGCGAAATACCCCCCAGACCCCCCGGTCTGGATTCACCCACAGCTTGTTAAATTTTTAGTACTTTTGTGTTCATTTTTCAGGGAAGGCTAACGAACAGTCTTTGTCTAAATGGTACTCCGTTCCTCCCAAAATTCCCTGTTGCTGTGTTCTCCACCAAAACGTTAAAAAATAGTAAATATTCGATGGCTCTCCTTCAAAAATTATCACAAGAGTGCTTAGGGTTTAACAATTTGGTACAGAGTCTAACACCGGGGGGTCTGGGGGGTATGGAATACCCCCCAGTGTACACTCCAGGAAAGAAATATTCCGTGAATCTCCTTCGCGAATTGACTCAATGTTCTATATCGCTGGAATGTGTACCTGGGGTATGGAATACCCCCCAGACCCCCCGGTCTGGATTCACCCCCAGCTTGTTAAACTTTTAGTAGCGAAAAAATTTTCCTTATGTGATGGTTTTTTTCTGGCTCTCCGTCTAACTCGAGAACGAAAGGAGATATCGAACCTTTGCCAATCGATTTTTAGGAGTTCAAGGATCAGCACTGTCGAATATGAGCCGGATCAAAAGTCTCGTTTTCGAATACGAGCGGAGTGGCAAAAAATTCCCCTACTGAAATTCGTATCTTGTTAGAGTCTGACGTTTCGAAGTTTGCGATCAGATCAGAGAGGTCTTGAATTTCTGTGTCCTTACCAGTTCTTGGTCGGAGTAGTTCTCTTTTCTTATCCTTCTGCGTTGAATACTATTTGACCGGTTCCTTCATTTGGATGCTGGTTTTTTTAACCGACTTTCTATCCGCATGCCAATCAACCAATGTTTCATTCGAAGTTTCGAAGCGGAATCGACTAAATCAACCCCCCCGATGCAACACGCGAAATCTCCTAATAATCTTAAAAAACCACGTGTGTCCGAAGCACTACGAGATAGTCCGCACACAATAGATTCCGCACCCTAAGAAACCTTTTTTTTTCCACATCGCATTATCGCACAATGAGGGTAGTCGGGCTACCTACCATTTTTTAACCCTTATTTGCAATTTCAGATTTTGCAGCTGTGTTTATCCGTAAAAGGGTTTAAATTCGGTATAGGGTTACTCAGCGTTTTTTAAGCGCGTACGTATACTTTTTTTTTGTATAATAGAAAAAGGGCTGGCTTTTTTCTTCTGTTAATGCGGAAAGGGTAGTTTCTCAGGGTTTCGACTTTCGCGTAGGATATTTTTTTTGCCGGAATGTTTTAAAAAGCAACACAAACAGCGCGTCGCGGGGAAGGGTTGACATGGGAAAGGATGTCGGGAATTTTTAGGGAGATTTTCTTTATTAATTAAGCTGCGCGCACCAAAGCGACGGACGGAAACCGAGGAAATTCCCCCAACGCGAGCTAAGTTTATAATGACGTGGAGAGTTTTATGTGAAAAAAAAAAGTTTTCGTTGCTCTGTCAACGAAAATGATTGATTAACACAAATTTTAAACGTTTTTTACATTTCTCACAGGTTTTTTGTATGATAAATGATTTTCGAGTGCTTTATACACGTTTCCTCCTTTCTAGACAATCAAATTTACTTGTCACAGTTCGAATCCGATCGCTTAGAACAACTTAAACAATTGGAGCTGAGGGGGAACTTTTTAACCGACCTGTCCGGCAGTTACCCGGCCAGCCTCGAGGCTCTGTATCTGGTATAAGGCTCGAATCGCGACACCTTCCGACTTTGACTTTCAGGCGGAGAATCGCATCAAGGAACTGACACTGTCGTCCGCCGACTTTCGGCGGCTGGCCGTCCTCCACCTGCGCGAGAATTACGTTCGGAAGCTGGACGGACTCGGACGCGCCGATCTGCCCAGCTTGAGGTATCTCAACCTGCGAAAGAACAAGATCACGAAGTTCAGGCAGTTTCGAAAGCTGGCCCGGCTGCCCAAGCTGGAAACGCTAATCGTCTTGGGGAATCCGTTTTACGGTAAGCGAGGCGAGTGTCGTCCGCCGCCGATTTACGAATGGATTCTTTTAGGCGAGGAAGAGAAACCGGGGGAGGACGACGAAGAGCTAGGCGACGAGGAAGAGAAGGAGGACATCGCCAGGTTTGCCCACTTCCTCTTTTTTCTGCGCTACTGATAAGTTAACCAGGCAGAGACGAGATCACGCTTCACACAGAGTCGAAGACTGATATCATGAGTCATGACTATCAGGAGCACAGTTGAAAGAGTTCTTTAATTACACCAGCAGCACATATCAGTCATTTCACACGCTATCTTACTTCTGTGCTCCTAATACGAAGTATTTTTTTTCGCGGAGGCATTGTTAGAGTAAGTCCCGCTGGTATCACTCCTCCTGATAGGTACATAACAGGCTAGATCTATACTTCTTCTCTTCATTGCTCCTGTTACGTCTAGCGGTTCTAAAAGAGTCGTTGGTCATTTCTCAATACAATCAACCCTTTCCACAAAAGATTTTTGCTCTGGTAAAACGCCCTGTGCACCTCTGACACAAACTTCATCAGTTTTACCAGTCGGGTGCTCAGGGACTTAGGAATCATGAAGATTTCGAGGCCCTTAGGAATGCCATGGTTTTTACGACTTCTTAGAACCGAAAAAATTAAAGTCAACGAACTTTCAGAGAACCGAGGGCACTAAGTCTTAAGAACCTAAAGAGCCCTAACAAAATTACCCCTTCTGATAAAACGGAGAGCCCTAAGTATTAACAAAACAACACGCGCCTATAGGGCTTAAAACCCTGAAAACTTGATCCTCAGTAGTAACTCTTCTGGTTACTAAGGGTCAAGTTCTCAGGATGTCAGGTTCTTCAGATTCTTTGACCATAGTGCCTTAGTTGTCCTGCTACTTTGTGGACCCTGTAAACAAAACCGAATGATGAAATACAAATTTACAACCCCCATAATAGGCGAATCGTAATCTGAAAGTGAACTTTTATTTAAAAAATTCATTATTTCTGAAACGGGAGGGGGCTATACTTTTAGATGCACTTAAGGGGTGGTTTGTGGACCCTGTAAACAAAATCGAATGAGGAAACAACAATTGTTGAAGTGGCACAAAAATTACAGCCCCCAGAATAGGCGAATAGTTATGTGATGCTGAATTTTTATTTAAAAAATTCATAATTTCTGAAACGGGAGGGGGCTATACTTTTAAATGCACTTAAGGGGTGGTTTGTGGACCCTGTAAACAAA